GTTTATTGAGAAAAAAAGATATTGCAGCGAACGATCATTATCGATAACTTCTTTATCAGACTAGAGCTATCAATTCAAAATTATTGTGATTATAATACAATAGATAAAATATTAAAGTTGAAATTTGACATTTTCAATTTATGACAGATTATTTTTATTGTAACACAATAATAATAATAATTTTGGATTGATAATTGTAAAGCATGATAAACAAGTTATCGATAACGATCGTTCTCTGTAATATCCTTTGTTCTTAATTTTTTTAATGAGAACTGTTAAATTCAATCTCTTTAAAGTTATCGCAATTATTTTGTTACCACGGTTTTAAAATAAATACTGAATATTTTAAATGAATAGTTCTTTTTTTAAACTGTATTGAATTGAATATATAACACAACAACAGTTTGAAGTTAATATTTTTATGTCAACTCATTTTTAATGAATTATGATGACCAGTTAACTTACATTTCCTGTCCAATGAGTGCCCGAAAAAGAACTCGGAAAAAACTGCATGTTCATGAGGAAATTATTATTTTTTACTAAAAATAATACATTATATACAACAACGGTACTCAAGTAAACCTAAGGTTTCAGCAGGGATCATGATTTTTTCAACACCAAAACAACTGTCAATCTCCAGTTTTAATGAAACTGAATCCTTACAGTCTCTTGTATGTTTCAATCGCCACTAACATTCTGAATTTAGAAGAAAATGGTTTGTGCACACGACTTTAGCAAATCATTTGGAATTGAGAAAATTGTATGAAACAATGTGATAACTGAAAAACCTGACTTCTGAGAACTTCCAGGGATGCTTTAAACGATATAGATGACATATGTATTATCAAAAGTATAGTCAGTGTATGACATGGTGTCGTGGTATGAAAGAAAGCTGCAAAGGGCTGGCTTCTGTTGGTCCTTCACGACTCCCTGGCTGGGGTCCGAGAGATCGTGCAACATAGTGGCTAGAGACGTTATCAGATATGGCTCAAAACAGAAGCCAGTGGCTATCCTCCTGTAACCTTCTTTCACTTTCTTCATTAAAAGTGGTTGTATCTTCCTTAACTGAAAGAATTCTTTTGTTGTACCTTTCCGTTTCCCCCATTTATATTATTATTACTACACTACCTTACACTAATCTGTTCTTTTCGTTTTTTTTCTTATACACACCTTACCTTCTTTTTTCTGTTCTCATTGTTTTGTGTGGCGCATATATATATATATATATATATATATATATATATATATATCTGGTACCCCGTTGTACCAATATTTGTGTTCAAATAAATTGAATAAATAAATAAAAAGTATGGAGTTTTAAGTAGAATAAGTTTAATGTACTGTAGAATTTGTAGATTAGAGTTTATGTGATTTCAGTCATCATATTGGTTAGATTATTAACCCTATAGATGAAAATTAACTTTAACTACTAACCTCTACACAATCATACTATCTAATAAAACGGATTTACTAGCCTACGTATAATAATGTATATGGATCATATTTTTGTTAGTTTTAATTTATTTTACCTACACTGTTTTCAAATTAAACTTTTATTTGAAAATAAATATTACTTTCTTTTTCAAAATAAACACTTGTCATGAAAGTTAATCTTGTGAAATAATGATGAAGCACGCATATTGTGCAATAACCTTCATTATTTAGATAATAAAAATCCATTTCACTTTCGTTTCTTTATGATGATTAATTAAACAATTTTGTAATTTATTGATTGATTCTCTCGTTATATATATATATATATATATATATATATATATATATATATATACATTTTTTTCATTAAATCGCTTGTAAATTCCATCTTGTTCTGAAATTATTATCATCAATCTGTAAACAAAACAGTAATTTTTTTGTTGTTGACTTTTCTTTTAGATGATGATTACCAGTAACAAAAAATATAGGTCATTATTTTCACCTTGAGTTACATTTGTTACACGTGAATTAGTGATACTAATAATTGACTTATTAAACTGTAATAGATACAGTCCGATTCAAAATGAAAAATTAGTTGTTGAAAGTTTATTTTTCACGTATATAATTATATGAATTGTACAAAAAAAGTACTAGCCGTTTCGTTCAAACTTTTAATTGTTCAACTTATGTTTAACAAAAATTTTGATTTTGATAACGTACGTTGTTATGAGAATGTTAATTATATATCATATGTGTATAGGTTCAAATCTTTAATTACATTGTTTCATCTGTGACAATGATTAAGTCCTCATAGATACTAATTATTTAGTATATGGTACGATTCTGTATCTCTTTTTATTAGAATAGTAAACAAAATAGTGTATTTTAATACTGATATCTTCGAAATATCTACTAAGTTTAACGTGACTTACGGATGTGTATGAATGACTAGAATTGAATACTAAACACCACATACAAATTATAAAACTCTTACACTTGTACTATTTGTAATTGCTAAACAATCAATCACAAAAAGGCTAAAAATTTACTTTGCAGTTTGCTCATTATTAAGGAACAAGAATTCTGTGTATAATGTTCAATGACCAAGGACATTTAAATTAGTTTATATACACTCTTTGTCTTCCCTTAAACCGTGAGATTAAAATGACTTTATGCCTTTCTTTCTGCGAATCAATCCTTTCTCCCTGTATCATATCTCTATATGCAATCTTTTTTTATGTATATTACTACCACTGAAGTAACTGCTTCTATGAATTTAGTGTTCTCTTGTGCTAATGAGATATAGCAACTTGAACCGATGCATATATATGCCTGGTCCTACGTTTTAGATGACTGACTGACTGAAATTAGTTTACGCTATCAAAGTCAGTAGTGTCTTATGTGACAAACCAATAAAATTAGAAGTGTTATTTTGGTTAGAAGTAGCCGATCACTATCCTGTGATCAATGAATTGTAAATACGTTTCAGTCCTACAGAAGGTCAGTCGCAGTCTGGATAGCTTAGTGGTAACGTCTCTGACTGTGAAGCTGGGTGACAAGGGATCGGGTCCTCCAGGGAGCATCAGTTCCCTCAAAACTACAGGTAAACTGCTGAGGAGTACAGAACAGCACAATATCTAGTTTAGTACCATTCCTTGAAAACTTGAACCTATACATTTATTATATATGTAAATTATATTTGAAATTCTATGATTTATTTGAACACATAAAAATTGGTACGAAAGGGCACCGAATAAATATGCGCCACACAAGTCACTTGATTTGTGTGTGTGGCTGTGATACTGCCTGGGTTCCCAAAACGAAGCAGGAGATTCTGTGATGCTATCTCTATTTGTATTTCAAAGATTCAGGCATTATACCACACGTAGCAGTTGTAACTTTGGTATATTCTTATCATCTGGAGTTCTGTAAGGATACTGTTCACATACCTAGACAGCTAAACTAGACAGAGGGTAGAGACAAAACTGTTTTGTCAAAAGCCTATTAGAATACCTACAGCTCATTTATACTTATAGATAGGAAAACTCCGTGAACATGTGAGTGGTGAATTTTGACTTCTGTGTAATCTATTTAATTGTATCCGCTCATGCTTTCATCTGACTTATAACTGTTAGGTCCCGAGGAGCATAATGAATAGTAACTTTTTGGATCCATTTATGGACCAATACTATGTGTATATATAAATAGCTAAACTATTCATATTCATTTCCCTCCTATTATGAGCCTTATTTTGACCTATGAACTATTATTATACGATTTACTATTCTTGAATTATGCCCTGTCTATTAATTACTACCTCCAACATTCACAGCCACATTTGGCCAAATGTTGTTTCATATTTTATGGTACGGTATGGTCTGTTTGATTGGTATATAAACCCCGTTTTCTTGAAATAAATGATTCATATTGCAGAGGCTGAGATTGGTGTTCTGGACTTAACTGGCTGGTCTAGGAGGACAGCAAGACCAATAAAGACTCTAGACTGCTCGCACGTGTTTTACGCATTATTGGTACGACCAATAATTCAGTGCTCTTTAATTGGAGGTCATAAATTATAACAAAATAACCTTATTTATTATTTATTTATTTTAACACATAAGTATAGGTACAGGGAGGCACCAAATACATATGCGCCACACGAATCTCAATTGATTTGTGTGAGGGCTGTGATACTGCCTGGGTGCCCAAACCGAAGCAGGTGGTTTTCTTAGGGGGCCACACCCCGAGCCTTTGACCTGAACATCTGATCCACAAGGCAGTGGAGCATCGTAAGGAGATGCAGTCCCATGGTAGCCGGTGACCAACGATTGGTTCATACGCCATTTGTTCCTTCGGGATACTGGAGCCCATGTGCACCATTGGTTTGGGGTCCGGTTAAAGCGCCGGACATTCGCTTTTCGTCCTCTCATTTTTGTAAACAACACCCCCGCCACGAGAAGGCAGTGAGTAGGACTTCCCTGGCAGAGGCTATATACGCATGGCCATGTGAGAGCATTTCGAGAGGGAGAGCGGACTCTCCCCACTCTCGGCCGTACCAGGGCATTTGGGGGCACTACCAGGGCATTTGGAGGTCATAAATTATAACAAAATAACCTTACGTTATTATGTGTGTAAGTTATATATGTAGTGTCGTTGAATTGTACGTGATCCATACATGGCAATTAAAAAATACGAAATCTCATAATGGTTAATTCTAAAACAAAAATTGATATCTAAACATAGGATTACTGAATCCGAACTTGAATTGTCTACAGAAACGAAAACGTGTAGGTTTTTTCATTAAAATGACTAAAATTGTTAAAATTAGTTTTTTTTCTGGATATCTATGTAAACATTCTAAATTGATTTGTAAACTTACCGTTTACAATTTGATTAATTGTTGCCTTTAATAAACATTTTCTCAAAATATTTACTAGTTTATTGTGTTCGTACTTTTTGTTTGGTTAAATTTTTTTTAGAAAGAAAAATCAATTTGACTACTTATTAATAACTTTTTTTTGTTGTTGTAGAAATTACTTTCTTTTTTTCTTTTTTTTTTTCTAAAGAAATGAATTAGAAAGACGATTTTTGGAAATAATTCAATTCAATATTAATGTACCTAGTTCAGTTTATGCGAAATATTATTTTGATATTAGATCATTATGTGGACCTAGTTATCAGCCAACTTTATTATCTACTGATCGTGCATATAAACTTGAGGTATATATACATATGTATGAACTTTCTCGATTCCGTCTACAATTTTTATAATGACGATTTTATGGGGATAGTATACCGACTTGGAATCATTGTGACATATATCTATCCCATTTTTCTATGAAAAAAAAGTTAATTAATGAAATAAGAACTAGTAAAGGTTTTAAGTTTTTTTTTTGTGAGACTAATAGATATCATTCATATGTTCGAATAGCTATATTATGGTAGTCTTAATTTATATGTAAGGTCCAGTTTTTTTATCACAATGCTATCGAAACATGAAATCTTAGTAAGATAATGTTTCTTTTTGATTTCTATAAAATATGATATTTTTCAAAGCATACGATAAATAAATAATAGTATCAAGATACTAGGGGTTGTTTATCCTATTATATCGTAAAATATTGATTATGATGGTTAACCTCTGTAATTATTCGGATTTAAAGTTAGATAGAATCAAGCTCATATTTTAGTGTCTAAGATCTGTGACACTACTGTCCAGTAATCTTTCCCGAAGCAAATGTCTCTCAAAAATTCAACCGAAGTACCTGTCATGTGATAATCCCTTGTCAATGTGCCTGAGTTTTTCAACCTATTGTATCTACCAATCTTATTTAATCCGAAGTACTTGAGTTCAACTTCGTAGAATAATACTCTGATGAACGTATTATTATAATCACGGTGTTATGGAAGTATTTTGGGAAGAATAAATAAATTAATCCACGTAATAAGTTTTGATATAATCCGTCTATGACATACGTGTTATTGTACAATGAAAGTTCAAGTATGCCATCAACTGTCCTACATTCTTTAAAACCTTTAAAAGACGATTAGACTTAAATATCTTAGTAAATTATCTACATTCTGAGCATTCGAACTTCAAGGCGTGTTGATAAATGTATAACGGAAATAAAATGAGTAGAAATGAGAATTATTATATAAATTTATGATTACACAACTACTTTTCTGAATGTATCTGGTTATTAACTTATATTTAGGCATTTTCACGAGTAATGGACGATCAATTTCATGATATTGTTCAAAAGTGTCTTACCAAGAAAAAATGGGGTAGTTTGGATAACTTAACATCTTCGCCTTCATTTCGACGTGCCATTATATCTTGAAATAGCTGTATCAACCGATTTATGTTTTTCTTTACATTCTGCAATAACGTGACAATTTAATTATTGACTGTTTTTATTTACCATTTTCGGCAAGTACTTTCGGATCTTCTAATATCCGTCCTACATTACTATTCTATCGTTTTATTCTATTAAGAATATCATTATTGACTAATTTTTTTTACATGAACACCAGACTCTCCAGTGTCTCATATACATACATTTTGTAATCTAATTGATCTCAATTTACTTCTTCAATTGACAGACAAACGATTTGCATTTGTGTATAGTAATTCACACGTATAAATCATTTGTTGAATTACAAAGAATTTCTGCTTCACAAGGAACATTAATACAAATTATTAGTATTCAGTATATATATATATATATATATATATATATATATATATATATATATATATATATATATATATATATATATATATATATATATATATATATATATATGGTATGCATGCTTTTTATAACAATGTAATATTTGCCTATTTCTATTCCATTTATTGTTCTTATTAATATTGCTCAAAGTTCTTTTTATAAATTTTGGTTGTCTTTCAACACAAATTTTAAGTTTAACTATGTACGTGTGCATATTCTCATTTCGAATTAATGTGGCTTTTGTTTGTTTTTATTTTTTCAAATTTCTGTTCACTTTTATTTGTTGTATGCATTTTCCTCGATTTATTTATCTTTTTTTACTGTTTGTTTTAATGAAAAGATAATGGGTAAACAATATATATATATATATATATATATATAAAGCCAGAGAAACATTCAAGGGATAAGCATTGTTGTCACCACTAACAATTTGGTTGTACTTTTTTTTTCAAACAAAAACTAATGAAAATTGTCAAAGCATTTTCTTCTTTCTCCATTCTCAAGATAAATGTTTATGTGTAGTAGTGTTGGTTGGTGCAATCCTATTGTTTTATAAACATATTTCTTCTACATCCTACTACACGACTAATAAAATCTCTCTATGTTGTGACGATCCTGATATTATTATATAACAAATATGTATATGTATCGCATCCTTCTATTTTTCTCATACAATAATATTTGATATATATATTATCAGTTAAGAAAACAAAATACCATCATAATTTATTTAACTAAATGTATACTTCTCGAAATCTCTTTTTTTCTGTTTAATCAAATTTACACCAGTAACCCATAAATTCACTCCACTTTAATATAACTGCTTTTGACATTCGATTTCGTTTCTAAAACCATTATACTCACAGTCAAAAAAGTACATGTGAATATATCATTTTTGTTGTGTTTTAATTTCTAAAAAATTTTTGTATACAGAATATATATAGGCCTACTTTTTTAGTTATTTTTGCAGTGAAATATTTTCACTGGCATACCGTAAGATGATAAGATGGTGAAGATTCGTAGCTCAAATGTAGTAGTTTGATAACGTTTGGCTTTTTCAGGTCAGTTGGTTTATTTATCGCATGTTTATTTGAGTAAAAACTTCAGTAAGGAGGAAGTAAGCTATCAAAATATGTCTACAAGTAGTGTGCTTGTTGATATACATGTTAATACATTGGATATATCAGCCTATAGAAAAAACAAACTAACCAAAGAGTCGGGGAGCACACAATCAAAATAACAGAGCAGCACTAGTACCGGGCAACCACGTTACACATCAACTAGATTTCAACCACTTGTGCTGATAATAATGTTTAGAAAGACAGAGGGGTTCACGGACAAACCACTCACTTCACATTATATACTATCACTAAACTAGCAATATATATAGTGGGTTTTTTAACATTATACAAAGATCATCACTGCCAAGTCATTTTCAGTAATAAGCTCTCAGAGAGATATCATGAATGTAGTATCTTCTGGGTATATACATCCGTCGGATTTACAAGGCGTCGGTGAGAGCAGTTCCGCTCTATGCTCGTGAAACCTGGCCTCTCCGAGCTGAGGATGTTAGACGACTCTCTGTGTTCGATCATCGCTGTCTCCGAAGGATTGCTGACATCCAGTGGCAACACCATGTTAGTGATGCAGAGGTTCCACTTTTATTTTACCATAGAAAGAAAATACCGTTATATTTTAGGTCTATTGCAGTGAACGAGGACACAAACAGGTATAATCAAGTGCATTCGAATACAAAATTACAGAACTTCTTAGGAAAATCTGAGAACCATATAATCAATACTTAATTTGCGAAATGTCAATCAATCGTCTCAAACTTCACTATTCCTTCATTTCCACAGCATTCATTCGTTGTTCTCTTTTCTTCGCTCTTCTTCACCTTTGCTGTCAGGTATTTCACTTTCGATTGATGACACATACTACTTATATCTATCAGTAGCACACACCGCACTATCTCTTATTTTTATGTACTTTTGAAAAGTAGATGAACTAAAACTGTTATGCCTGGCCTATCGCCACTGTTATGTACGCACTGAATACGTTGTGTCTGCAGTCTTACTGCCTTTGTTTGATAGTCGGTAACTACTGGACTTCCCCGATCTTATTGTTTTTTTACTGGGAGACGGGAATCACTACAATTCCCACAACGCAAAGTGAGAACACGAAAGACTAGTGCAATAAAGATCTATTGACTCTCCAAAAACTTTGTCCTCAGGCATAAAATACAATCATTTATGTACTAATTTTAACACAAGATATTACAGGGGGAAACATATAGCTACTGTAAAAACACCGAATATAGTTCACCTGTTAAATGCGAACGAAGAATAAATGGGTAGTAACTGCTAGGAATTATTTATGGACTATTATTACATATATTCTTATTGGATAATTATTAAGTAGCTCGACTATATATACTTATATCCCCTTTATCATAAGCTATCATTTGACCTATTGGTCACTATTGTGCGACTTAGTATTCTTAATTTGTTCCCAATCTATTGTTTGCAGTCTCCCATACAGCCACTTTTGGCTTGATCTTATATAGTTCATATTTTTTATTTTATGATGAGATGCAGTATGGTTTGCTTGTATATAAACTACGTATTTCTGAAGTATATAATTCACACAATCGAGGCCAATATTGTGTTCTGAACTTATATATATCTGGTGCCCCCTTGTACCAATATTTATGTGTTCAATTAAATAAATCTGAACTCAATGAGCAGGGCAAGGCGAGAAGCTAATATATTTGAGGATCAATAAAGATTTGGAGTTAACTCAAGGCTGCTAATGCTGGTTTATTCGTCATTGCTTTAGTACACGGACAAGGTCATAGACGTCTATATTCTGATTGGCGATTTCGTCACTTGTTAATTGACCGGGGCATAAGTTGATGATAATTTGACACAAGAAAATATTGTCGTCTTTTTATTCTGTCATATTAAAACTGACAAGAGTTATTATGTTAACTAGCCTTTACCAAGACTTAACAGTGGAACAAAAACACTTAGGATATTTTGTTTTTTTGAATACGGGTCTCGGATAGACAACAAACGTCAATATTAAGACTTTCCAAAGACATAGCCAGCCCTATCTGTTGTCCGACCTGCATGAGTGTGCGAACAGCTCTGATGGATCTAAGTAATGGTGGTGTGGATCTGTTACCTGGAGAAAGACTTCTCGACCTTGAGTATGTGTATGATATTGTCTTACTGTGCGAGAATGCCCAAGCCATGCAATCCGCACTTAATCAGTTGGCAATCAATGTCCGTAGGTATGGTATGTGCTTTGCACCTTCGAAGTGCAAAGTACTTCTACAAGACTGGCAGGATTCTAATCATGTACTCACTCTGAATGGTGAGCAGATAGAAGTAGTCGAGAAGTTCGTGTATCTAGGTAGCTGCATAAGTGCTGGTGGTGGCGGCGTGAGTGATGAGATCAATGCACGTATAGTGAAAGCCAGAGCGGCTTATGCCAATCTGGGCCATCTTTGGCGCCTTCGTGATGTTAGTTTGGCTGTAAAAGGTCGGATCTACAACGCGTTGGTGAGAGCAGTTCCGCTCTATGCTCGTGAAACCTGGCCTCTCCGAGCTGAGGATGTTAGACGACTCTCTGTGTTCGATCATCGCTGTCTCCGAAGGATTGCTGACATCCAGTGGCAACACCATGTTAGTGATGCAGAGGTTCCACTTTTATTTTACCATAGAAAGAAAATACCGTTATATTTTAGGTCTATTGCAGTGAACGAGGACACAAACAGGTATAATCAAGTGCATTCGAATACAAAATTACAGAACTTCTTAGGAAAATCTGAGAACCATATAATCAATACTTAATTTGCGAAATGTCAATCAATCGTCTCAAACTTCACTATTCCTTCATTTCCACAGCATTCATTCGTTGTTCTCTTTTCTTCGCTCTTCTTCACCTTTGCTGTCAGGTATTTCACTTTCGATTGATGACATATACTACTTATATCTATCAGTAGCACACACCGCACTATCTCTTATTTTTATGTACTTTTGAAAAGTAGATGAACTAAAACTGTTATGCCTGGCCTATCGCCACTGTTATGTACGCACTGAATACGTTGTGTCTGCAGTCTTACTGCCTTTGTTTGATAGTCGGTAACTACTGGACTTCCCCGATCTTATTGTTTTTTTTACTGGGAGACGGGAATCACTACAATTCCCACAACGCAAAGTGAGAACACGAAAGACTAGTGCAATAAAGATCTATTGACTCTCCAAAAACTTTGTCCTCAGGCATAAAATACAATCATTTATGTACTAATTTTAACACAAGATATTACAGGGGGAAACATATAGCTACTGTAAAAACACCGAATATAGTTCACCTGTTAAATGCGAACGAAGAATAAATGGGTAGTAACTGCTAGGAATTATTTATGGACTATTATTACATATATTCTTATTGGATAATTATTAAGTAGCTCGACTATATATACTTATATCCCCTTTATCATAAGCTATCATTTGACCTATTGGTCACTATTGTGCGACTTAGTATTCTTAATTTGTTCCCAATCTATTGTTTGCAGTCTCCCATACAGCCACTTTTGGCTTGATCTTATATAGTTCATATTTTTTATTTTATGATGAGATGCAGTATGGTTTGCTTGTATATAAACTACGTATTTCTGAAGTATATAATTCACACAATCGAGGCCAATATTGTGTTCTGAACTTATATATATCTGGTGCCCCCTTGTACCAATATTTATGTGTTCAATTAAATAAATCTGAACTCAATGAGCAGGGCAAGGCGAGAAGCTAATATATTTGAGGATCAATAAAGATTTGGAGTTAACTCAAGGCTGCTAATGCTGGTTTATTCGTCATTGCTTTAGTACACGGACAAGGTCATAGACGTCTATATTCTGATTGGCGATTTCGTCACTTGTTAATTGACCGGGGCATAAGTTGATGATAATTTGACACAAGAAAATATTGTCGTCT